TAAACAAATACTTTTCCTATCGGCTGAGATAGCTCCGCTGTTAGCAATGCACATTTCAATTAAAGAACAGAAGATATCATTAGAAAATGAACAATATATATAGTATCAAAACAATCAGACTTGTAATAAAAATATCACTTTTTACCAAAAATTACAAAAATATTCATCAAAATTAAAGAATTGAAGATATCATTACAAAATGAACAAATCTGAGAGAGGTCCACATGTAGTACCTATATATGTAATATCAAAGCAATTGAACTTGCGGTTTCCAACAAGAAGTGAAAAATATCACTTTTTACCAAAAATTACAAAAATATTCATCAAAATTAAAGAATTGAAGATATCATTACAAAATGAACAAATCTGAGAGAGGTCCACATGTAGTACCTATATATGTAATATCAAAGCAATTGAACTTGCGGTTTTCAACAAGAAGTCAAAAATATCACTTTTTACCAAAAATGACAAAAATATTCACCAAAATTAGAGAATTAAAGATAGCATTACAAAATGAACAAATCTGAGAGAGGTCCACATGTATTACCTATATATGTAATATCAAAGCAAATGGACTTGCTGTTTGAAGTAAAACATTGACACGGACGACGACGGACAATCACTCATATGATAAGCTCCGCTCGACAAAGTCGACAGCGGAGCTAAAAATGGCCTTTTACTTTGTTAGGTTTCTGTATATTTCACTACACACAAGTATAAAATATCAAGGTTCCAGAATTCGACCCTTGACCTGTAAACTAATATTACAAACGAAATTAACTCCTTATTTGCAGCTCAAGGATGCAACTTGTTTATTATTTCACAGCTCTCAGCAAGCTAGGGATTCAAAAAATAAAGCCTACAGTTACGTGTTTGTTTTGATCCAAATAACTGTTTCCCCGCAGATATAGCCGACTCAATGCTAAGAACAAGTGAATGTGTGGAAGTGGGTGGATTGCTGCCAGTGCAAACATTGCAGTGAATAGAGGTTTAATTTTAACACAGTCACCGACAAGCAGTTAGAATGATGTATTCACAACATTGATAAAGTAAATACTGTAACTGTAGTATTATTGTCATTTGTATGACATGTTCTCGTTCCTAAGCATTTATCCACCCGGATTATGTGTGAAATTATCTGTACGGTACGGGTGTTGTCAGATCAAACGCAATTAAGCAACTGAATAAAACAGTCTGATTGCCTGTCTGGCCAACACACACTGGGTACAATTCTCACGCACATGACTGCAGTCTTTCTATGCATTCAAAGATCATATTGTTGTAATAATTAATGATCAAAATAGTTTATTAATGATAATAATACACGTATAATTGCTAGAAAAGATCATATCTCTAAAATTGAATTTATTTAATTAACTGAAAATTACTAAATAAATAATTATTAAAGTATTATTAGCCAATGAAATAAGTTGCATTTCCTTTGTTCAAATGACAAACCAATAAATCTGACTGTTATTTAAGGTTATGTAAAATGAAGTTGTATTCTTTATTTACTTATCAATGTTGGTTCAAATTTATATTGGCGCGATGAGTTTGGTTCTATGGGTGCAAAGATATTAAATCTACACAGAGAATATTAAAAACAAAATACTTATAAAACAAAAACGCACATACAAAATCTAAGCAAAGCAGAAAAAAATCTCAAAAAAAAAAACCTCAAAACTAAGTGAAAAAAAAAAGGATGATTTTCACAGTTTTCAAAGATGGTATCTCTAACTCTGCTGGTCAACTAATAATTCATTACTCAAATATTAATGTAGAATGTTAACATGCTCTTTAAAATTACATAAAATGGTGTTCTCACCACTGTTAAGTTTTTAAAGATTCTGTTATCGAAACCCATCAAATTTACTAACAGTCAATAACATAGCAAATGAACAGTTACAGTTTATGACGCAAACAATTCCAAACTACATTCCTTTGGAAGCCAGCATTGCCCTGAGTAACAACAAATAAACTGCCAGTACATTTCCAACACATCAAAGTTTATTGTTTTTGAGCTCTGACCTTACAACATTGTAATGATTCATCTCAAGTTGTTTGTAATAGTTAGGGGGGGGGGGCTAAAATTTCCTTGATTTTTCTTGTTGGTTTGAGAAGTTTTCTATATTCATTACACGCCTATCTTCAATAAAAGTGAATAAATAAATCAAAATAATAAAATTATCATATTTAGCTATAAAACATTTTAATAACAATGTAAATATAGCATTGGCTAGCGTGCTCTACATCACTAAAATAGTTTTAAATGTATTAAATATAAACTGATTTTCCATTTTTATTTTCTTGTTTAGTTGTTTTATTCTAAGCTTCATTTCACACCCTTGGTTTTAATTTAGTAAGATTACTAGTAGCAATGTGGTGATGTGATTGTGCCGCTTAACAATGATCATGAGTAGTTATACGACGTATCTATCTAGTAGCTATGGTTTATTTAATTTGTAGTACAGTTGTGGCAAATCCTAGGGTGTTTCTCCAATCACTGTCACTTGAAAAATTAAATTCTAGATGCGTACATGGTGCGGTACTTTGATATCATTACCATACCATAGCCATGTTACGGAATATAACCAGGGCAATTCTTGAATGCTCATTCGGCAATTCAGGACAACCGTGGTAAAGTCAATTTAAAAACCAGTGAACAATTAGGACCTTCACCGATTATCCGGAATTGTTGACGTGTTGAACATTGAACTATTTTTAATACCTTTTCTCAAACTGTTTTAAGGTCTCAACAGGTAATTAGCGAAATTGAATTACTATGCCATGCCCTATGTAAGGTACAGATCATCAGAACCAGTACAGACAAAACAAGATGAGCACAGTGACTAATAAAAGACTGGAGATAACCGTGTGTTTCATGATGTGGTATAGCTTTATATCCTTTAACCAGCTTTGGGTATATCATAAACAACACAACTCCAATGAGTGATAGTGACGTAGAAAACAGCCAGTAGCCGCCAGTCAAACTAACCACTAACTTTGAATAAAAGATTTTTTGCTTTTTAGCACTAAAATAAAATGCATACATGTGGACAGACAGTGGTTGTGTTGGGACTACTTATATTTCCCATTTTAATGTTATAACTTGAAATCAAATCTACCGTACTTCACTGAGTGAGCCATCATTTTTGTAAGGAAGAGTCTGCAGTATCATTTCAAAATATCATACAGCATGTATCTAGTGACAACGCTTACCAATTAATACATACTTTTAAATGTCTGGGCTCAAGGGGCACAGTTAGCTAATTAGACTGAGGTCATTGTGGGTCAACTACAGTCTGTGACAAGTAGAATAACTTGCATAAAATGAAAGCAATAATGATCATTGTTTACTACAAGATCCAATTTTGTGGGAATTTGATCAGAAATTTTTTTTAGTCCATATCAACTTTCTTAAATCACATGGTTAAAATTTCCAACTCTGCAAATGTAATCATTTTTTTTTTCAGGCCAAAAATAGGCACATTTTTTGTTAATTTTAATTTCTGCGTTAATTTTGGACCAAATGGAAATAATTTTTGTTGGCTTTTTTGAAAACAATATGGAAATAAATATGCAGGTTTATTTTGTGTGAAATGTGACATAAGTTGGCTCTTGATATTGAGATATGCATATATTGTAGCTGACTTATTCCAATATAAAAACAATTGAACAGAGCACCATACGTCATCATGCATAGCATCATTTCTTGCATTACATAGTTGACACAAATGAAAGCGATTAATTGATACAGTCACAGTATCAGTTGCACACTGTGGTTTTCATAAATACCTACTACAAGATATATTTACTGTATAACCACCGTATGGTTTCTGACATCAAAACAGAAACATTGCCAGCTAGGTTGCTGACTGGTTTACTATTCCCATTTTGTTACCAAATGGAAAAAGTTGGGTCAAACCAACTAACATCAAACTAATACTGAGGGACACGCTGAATACCAATACAAGATAGAATTTCCTTTTAATTTATTTTTACTAATCGTATAAATTGCTGTATAACAAATGGCAAAGCAATCTTAAAAAATTTAACATTAAAATTATTGTATGATGAGACATAGTTGCTGGTGGGATTCTAGTGGGTACATTTAACTGCAAAGCACACCCTCCTAAAAATGGTTTGATCTTTGTAAGAAACTCAGGAAATTCAGTCAGCAGCTAATAGCAGGCAATCAGTAAATTGCGGTTTTGGTTGAAAACAATATGGTGGAGACAGTAGAAAATAATAAGGCTCAGGAACAGTGTAATCACTATTGAAGCAACACAAAATTAGAGATCAGCAACAAAAGTCAAAATCTATTACAAAATGTGTATATCCAATTTACAACAGTTCTAAAAAGGCAGTCAATAAGAATTTGGTGGGAATATAAAACTGAAATTCTGACAAAAAAGTAGTTTTTACTCATTGCCCAATGGATTTAAATGTTGTCGCTATTCAGGTGCACAGCGGTACCGGTATATAATTTACAGCGCATGGTTGCCAAGCACGTTATTTTACGTAATACCATGTAGTAGCGGGGCAAGAACGTTTATTCAAAAAAAAGTTCAGGGAGGTCGAAGCTAGGTTGTTACAAGTCATTCACAGTTAAAGCAAATATGGGAAACATGTTCACAAATAGTCATTATATTAAAATATGGATATTTCATTGTATAGAGCTCTGACATCCAACAAACTCAATTAATAAATATTTTTTAAATTTCTGAAAAGTTTAATATTTGTTTTTTTACAGCAGGAATGGTAAATCAGGTAAAATAGTTGACCAACGTTTCTCTTAATAAGATTCATCTAAAAATCACAAATTAGTCAAAATGCTCTACGCACAATTACACAAAAATATTTTTTTTGGCCAAATATTCTATATTGAATAGTAGCATGCTGTTTTTTTGTATAGTTATGTGGACTTGTTTTCATCCACATGACTCCACCTTTAAATCACACACAAACCATTTGTACAAGCTTACTTCAGGTAAACTTACATTGTCTTCAACAACATGAGCAATCTTGGTGGGCGCTAGCTCTAGCTCTTCTTCGGTAAAAGGACGAACTCGGAGGGCCACCTTCGAAAACAATTAAAAAATATATGTACATTTTGAAAATAATGCATTTGTTATTATTATTATAAAATATAAGAAAACAATAAACCAAAAGTCAACGTCCGTCAACGTACAGCGCAATACCGTAGCAAAAAACTTTCAGCTAAACTTGTATACTGAAAAATGTTGATTGATCCTTACCGTTAATTGGTGGTCTCTCCAGTTTTTCGCAGTTTTAGCTGACATAATCGCTGTTTGTTATTGCCTTCCGTTTTGCCTCCATAAAAGGCATTCTCGGAAAGCAACACAATTATCTGTCTTCTGTGTTGAATAGAAGTGTTCACAGTTTCCCAGTGTATACATCGACCACACAGCTTGAATGGCGTGGACAGTCAGCGGAACTTTAAATCGCGGTCATTCAGTTTTCAGACTTGTGCATGGTTCTCGATGATTTTAGTTAAATTTGAAATTAGTTGGCTGTCTGTGTGGCCGCGATGTACTGTATGACAATTCACTGTTGATGGTCAACAACAGAATCCAACAGGCAAACAAACTATCGCGAGCCGACGGATCGGAACAGATGCTCTGTGCTGCACTTCGTTCGAAACTCTGCGAAGTATCCTCGATCCGATCCAAACACTGTCTTGCAACCAATAATGTCAATAAAATCGTATTCCAGGGCGGGAATATAAACCTATTTCAATAATATGGGTTGTTATTAGTGTTCCTTGCTTACGGTCCTCAGTGAGTTTCGTAGCTGAGTCGGTTCATGGGTTCGACTTTGCTGCACATGACAGCCGCCATAGTTGTATGCAATCAAACCGCATCACAAGTTGTTTACTAGTAACACTACGCATCGCGAAAAAATAACACATAAAATTCGCAGAATATACTGTTTCAACATTTAAAAAAAGTAACTGATTTCTAAAATTACGATATTCTGACTACTAAAGGCAAAATTAATCGGATATTCACTCCTTATAAAGAGAGAATAAATAAATAATATGATAAAATTAGTTCGGGTTATTTACAATTACCGATTTACGCATGGCTATTGTTTGTATACGAGCTGGTTTGTTTTCACATGGGCGTGCGTAATGTAACTGTCCACTTGTGAGTGTTGCCAATAGAGATAAACACAAATACATGTACAACCAAATTATTCCACAGCAGTCACGCCCTCGTCCGTGAAAAAATACTCATGTGACTACTTATTGATTAAATCGGCCAAAGTAATATCGCTGAGGCTGCGAGATTCGGGAAACTGTTATCTGTCACAAAAACATAATAATAATACTATTAAAGAAAGCTATATGTATATTGAAACACAATTAGTAAATAACTTATACCGCCACGGTAGTATTTTTCGCTACTCGAAGTTCGCTGGCTGTACGTAAATGTATATTTCTGGAGCAAAGTATGTAGGCATGTGTGTCATTATTTCTCAGGAAACGGTCAAATAGTAAAGAAATATTTCCTTTTCCCGTTTGTTGTTATTTTTCGTAAAATAAAGTTACAGAACATCTAACCGGACAATTTTACATTGGTACACACATATAAACAATTGTCTGAAAATATGTAATTTTAATAAAACTGAAAATGGTTTAACTTTATAATAAATATACAATGCATTAAAGTGGAGTTGGAAATAAATAAATTACTTTGTCAACATCAATAATACTTGTCACATTTTGTGAATTGGTGTGAAGAATTTATTTTCTACAAAGAATTTCAATGCTACCAATATGAATGTAGACAACGTGGGTAGACATGGCAGGGGCGGATACAGGATTTTTTTATGGGGGGTTCCAAACTTTAAAATCGCCAGACTAAGTTAATGGGGGGGGGCCCAAGACTAGATCCGCCACTGCATGGGTAGACATGTGAGCGCAGACACATAAGTGTAGACACGTGAACAGACATGTGCAACCGTAAATGGAGACCTCATCATTTTTCGGTTGTCGATATTGTACACATTGCATATACAACAGTAAATATGAACTGACATTGATATATCACAGCTATACACACTGCAAAAGCGGGTGCACATTTCAATCATATTTTGAGGACCTCCCCTTCCTTTCCGAAGTCCGGTTGCGATCACCATAGAAACAAATTATATTTCGATCTATCGCATCAATGAATACATTTGCAAATACTATTTATTATCAGAAATATTGATAAAACTACTTCGAGACTTGGTCATTCAATATCACAAACGTTTTGGGTCAGTATTACATAGATTTACAAATTTGAATTTACAAAGTTTGTTGCCCTTGGAATCATCACTGTTACCTCGCCTCGTAAATGTGTTTCTATAGCAACCTATTAAAATTATTTCATACATTTTTCTCAGAATGTGAATCTGTTGGCACACCCCAAGTACTTCTAGGAAACTAATCTCACTTAAATCCCACATAATTCTCAAACAAATATGACGGTGCCTGGTTAAAATACACGTGTTGAGGGACTGATTATTTATATGTACTACACGATAGTTGTGGGTGGTACGTTTTGTTAAAATTCCATAAACACGGAAATGTTTCCAGATGCAACATGAGGAAATGGTATTGCCTAGCAACCCTAAGCAAGATTAAAGAATCCGAAATTACTGTATTACATCAAAGAATTGTGCGTGCGCAACTTAAAGTACGTGAGAGGTAAAACGAAAGACAAATTACAACAAAGAGGGCGTGTACTGAATACTCGTAGTCGTCTCTTCTTGGCCTATAATAGCTGTATCGGGAAAACTTATATCAGTATATAGTGAATATATGCACAGAAAATGTGTATCTTTCGCCGATTATTGTACATTCGCTCAAGGTCGTCACATTAAATCATTTTTTGTCACCCAAGTGATATATTTCTGCATTTTATATTTATTTACTTATTGACTCTTACACAATCCCCGGAGGGAAAGAAAATGGCCACAAAGTACAAGGAAAAAAAATATATAAAAACAATATATTAAATAACAAATACAATCAATAAATTACTAAATAATACAAAATCTTTACAATACTATCTAATATGAAATTACTAAATTGACAGCAGGTTAAGATGTCAAGTAAGACCCTGCTTCCTGACTTCGAAGCTTTTACTTATGAACTGTGCTACTGGTATAATAATGTTTTCATTCTGTAACAATTCCGTGATTTTTTTCTCTGCAGGTTTATTTTCATATGCTGGGATCATATCCTTAGCTTTATTGAACAGTTTGGCACGCAACTCATTATATTTGTTGCATTCCACAGAAAATGCATTTCATCCTCAATTAATATGTTAATTTGCGAAGCTTATAATGTATGCTCTTTGGTGCAGTGAATGATTAAACATAAAGCTTCTGATGAGTGAGGCACTTGTACCTTACGAAACCGTGCTGAAGAGTTTCAATATTCATGTAGTTGTGTATTAATTCCTCTATCACCGTATATATATATATATATATATATATATATATATATATATATA